TAATTTTTTTTAAAAAATAACTTATTTAGAATGATGTCTCTCTGCTCTTACTTCCTAAAGCATCAAAGGATTTACAAATAGGAAAATGTAACTGATGCAACTTGATCTGCAGATATGAGCACCAACTAGACTGTGAGGGTGTCTACCTTACAGGTTTTGGGCTGTTTGTAAAGTTTCTAGTGTAATAAGACCTAGTCCAGCTCTGCTGAAATGTTTTTACAGTTCCAAAGGACATCCCACTTATTAAGTTTATTGTACATTCTCACCCCTATCTGAGACACTGTCATAATCTGGGTCCTTTTCAAATTGCTGATAGTCAATTAAATCAATTAAGTTATTTAACGCTACAGAAAACATCTGATGAGCTGTGTACTGTTTGTGCAAAGCTGTGACATTTTGACTTGGGCATTTAAGTTACTTTAGCATAAGTTAATGGATCTCAGAAAAGGAATGCAAACAGAAGTCACAAATTGTATTAAAACTAAGAGTGATCAAGGCTTTACTGTTGGAGTTGGTTGTCCCAGGGCTACAGCATTCCCACTTTCATATTACAATCAAGTATTGGCTTTGAAACACACAAAGCTGCTTGCTACTGAGGCTTGTCGTTTTACATACTGATACTGTAAACTGGATTTGAAGGAATAAGGAGCAGATGACATTTTAAAGAAAAACATTAAGTTATATTTACAGAAATAGAGGCTTCACGGCGCTTCTTAAAAAGGCAGTCTCAGGGACCAGCAGATGATGTAATGGTTATATCGCTGGACTCTAATGTAGTTGACTGCAATGTGAATCCTGGACCTGGAGGCTTAAAACTTTTACTGGACATGAGTGTGTGTGCACCCGAATTCAGAGAGGAGAGTGGAGGGGAAGAAGGTATTGTGGTGTGGCCATCCCCCTTGGGGGGTGATTTCTCACTTTCTGTCTCTTGGTCTCTCAGTGTCACTCCGGGGAGCTTATACACCCTATAGCAAAAATCTCTCTTTTAAAAAAAGGCAGTCTCCTTTGACTTCTGAGGATTCATATTTCTCCTTGCTAAATTGATCATTTGTAACTCCAGGTAAGTGAGGGGGTAAGCTGACCTCTGTTTTCCACCTGCTTAGAGGTGATACCTTTGGAACTTGGAATAGGGTTTTGTTATTTTGATAGGCTGTTTATAAATAGTTGTAAGAGTGATTGTGTTCCACATTGTTGTTTCAAGTTTCCTGAAATGTTTCCTGGGTTATGTATGAGTCGAGCTTTCTTTGAAACTGTCTAGCAGAAGTTTGCTGGCATGAATTTAGCACTGCTAGGACGAACACTATATAAGCAATTAGCTGAAAATCTCTTTTTCATTTGGCTCAGTCCTAGCTGAGTCCAGACTTAATTCATAAATTTCAGCTACAGGGCGAGGGAAGAAGGAGAATCTAGGGAGTTCTATTAATTTAAGAAAAAGAAGCATCCTTTTACTTCTGGCTTGTATATAATTAGATAAGAATTAGTGTCAGTTTTTTTTTAATATGACTTTATAAAAATCACATATTAGAAGGATTTGAGTAGGCTTAATTATTTCATGCCACTATTCATTAGCATATTCCCTTAGACTTTATAATTTCCCTCACTCTTTTTACTATCCAGGACAATTTTTCTAATAGACCAAATGTTCAGTAAACTTTTGTTGAAAAAAACTAATCTGTAATAAATCCTGAATATCAAAACCAAAGGGTTATAAATTTGTACAACAGTATCAGAAATTTAAATCAGAGAACATGTGATATATTCACTTATACAAAATAACTCTTGATATATTTTTGTTTAATAATAAACTGGAATTTTTCCTAGAGTCATCTATTAAGAGTATAAATTTTTAAAGAATCACTTAACAAAATGTTTTTTGCTTCTTGATTAATTTGTGGTCAATGTTTCTGCAACTCATAGTTTTTTAAGCGTGTATTACTGGGCCATATGTGATTGTGAAGATATTATTTATCTAACAAGACATTAGGTTTTTTTTTTTTTTCATTTTTATGTGCCTGGCACATTGTAACAATATAGTTTCATCACAAAAAAAAGACTGATCTTCAACAAGTAACTATATTATTCAATCCAGCAAAAGACATGAGACAGATGGATTTTTACCTATGTCTTAATAATCAATGATCTAGAGAAGAGAGGCAAGACTTAGGTAAATCTGTCTCACTTCCTTCTTTCTCTCAAGGGAAATGCAGACAAAGGGGAAGCAAGCTGCTCTAGCCACTTGACTTGCAAATCAATTTGGTCAGGATTAGAACTGGGAATTAAGTCCCTTTTAAAGATAAAGGACAGGTACTAAAACATTTGCAATTGATCATGAATGACTGAAAAGCTGTATGCCAGAAAAGACTATAATTTAGTTAGATATACTGTGGGCGCAATGCAACAGCTGCCGGCCAGGTCTGGATAAAAAGACTATAAGTATCCCAACTAACTGCATCTAGCTTGATTTCCCATTTTTAATAGCACAGAATAAGTCGTTTTTTCCTGGCAACCGGGCAGTTTTTGTTGAATAGAAGGGCTATTAACAGGAAAGAAAAACACTGACGTCTTTTAGTCTTTCTGGGAAAGGAAGTAATAAGAAAATGATTCCATTATTAACTGTATTTGCAAATTTGACCCAACATTCTCAAACTATACTTTTAAAAATTGTCCTCTTTCATAGGCCATACTTACAGATCATAAAGCCCAACTAGATTCTAGGATAGGAAAATCTTGATACTCAGTAATGGTTGGTTCCTAAAATCTGTCATTCTCTAGTGTGTGACATGAAGGTTTTTTTGTGTGTATGTGTGTATGGGGGTGGTATATCGGTGTGTTTTAATAAGTAGCCTTTATATGCAGATTATGAGAGGTGTTTAGGGATTTGCTAAGTATGTAAAAATGCAGAATTGAAGCTGTCATGGTTGGAAGGTTAATTTTTCTTAGTCAGGCAGAGGCTGATTGGACAGGTAGGGGTATAAGACTCTGTTTTGATTTTTATTTTTTAAGCATCTTTTTAGAAACAAAGTTAGAAAATTGAGACCCAGCCAAACATAAATAAACTTCAAGCTTTCATGTGAAAACAAAGTTGACCTAAAATGAAAATTTCTCTCTTTTTAGAAACTAGACTGTCATTCTACCCTTCAATTCTGCCTCTTCCCTTCTTTTCTACACACCTTGTACCAATAACCCAGAGTACTTCACATGTAGACACTTCAAGAGCTTGTAACGGTCCAAAAAATACAATACACATGATTCATTCATGTGTTTGAATGATGGAACGATAGCCTCTTGTCATTTTATTCTTTGGACCTGTGCTCTTTAGATTGTATCAGCAGAAAAGAAATTTGGAGATCAAGCGCTTAAAATTGGAACTTGGCAGATAACATGCGATACGCTACTTGAGACTTGAGCAAAACCTCATCTGAGTAGCTCAGAGGGCTAATCATTCAAAAAGAATATTCTTGCCCTTACGACTGCCATTTACCTAAAGACAAACCCAAAGGTCTTTCATGTTATTATGAACAGTAATAAATGTGGCCCAGAGGTTGTGTAGAGTAGGGGCAGGAGCCAACTGCACAGTGGAAGAGCTGCCAAGTTAAACACATTTTCCCCAAATCAAGTTTTAGTAGAAATTTTTCCATTGGAGGACTTTCTCTAGAACAGACATTTTCAGTTCAACTAAATAAACTACTTTAAAAAAAAGAAGAAGTTGAGATCTACAGTGTATTTATAGCCATAATTCTAGATATCCAAGTCTAAAAGACATAAAAGTTGTGCTGCAGTCACTGAAGAGCAATGCACGTCCACATTTCAAATAGTCATAAAATGTGAAACGTGATAACAATAGAAGGTCAAAAACATGGAACAGATTGAGCATAGTCATATTGCATCAAAAGAAGGTAGAATACACTACGTGGTTACCTAAATTAATTTACAGGAAAATGGGATCCTAGAAGTCCTCCGACGTATCAAGTGCAGGTAATCTAAAGGTGGGGAGTGCATGTTTTATTTCTATCTGTTCTCTTTCATTAGAGAACGTGAGGTAATTAGAAAGTATGCAATGCATTCTGGACTGTTTGGCTAATTGTCCCAGGCAAGATAAATCAAAATGCTTCAGAAAAGTAAGGCCTAGTTGAGTATTTGGGTAGAGGCCCTCCCTTCAATCAGCTAGTCACTAAGTGTAAGTCTCATCATACACTTATTTTTGCGGAGATGGATTGATCACGCTGCAGCAAAGGCTGGTTTCTGAGGTTGTGTCTCTTCCATGTTTCCTCAGGCTCCTCTGCATGTATCGAGTTAGATCCTCAGAGTGGTGAAGGAAAACGGGTCATTACTCCTTCGTTAAGCATCATTAGATGATCCTCTAAAGTAACTACATGAACCTCATAATAGTCAAAGAGCTTTCTAAAAATGTTTTTAAATTTTTATCTCAAAGAGTTCTCAGTCCCCACCCCACACGAGGTACCGTGAAGGGGCACTAAAGTGCATTTTGATGTAGGGGTAGAGTTTAAAGGTGCTGTCCCAGCTAAGAACCAAGATGATACTGTTTAAAAAAGAAAGGCAATTCCTTCTAGCTCCGTCTCAGGAGTCAACTGAGGGAGGGCAATGAATTATACCCTCACTGGAGGATTGTCCTAACTCATAACTTTAAACTGTGTAAGGACCTGCACATATAGACTCATTTATTAGTCCAAAATAGCAAAAATAGGCCTATTTCACCCTTAAGAAAGTATTTGCAAATCTGATCAGTCATGATCATAAAAATGTGAATGGATTCCAAATGCAATCCATGTGGGCATGCTCAGTGGTTCTAGCTAAGCATCTTCAGTTTGTATGAACATGCTGCTGTTCATTTTCATCAAAACATGACTTCTAAACTACCATAAATAAAATACACAGGGAACAATTAAATCTTTTTCTTACAATAATTACTTTTACATTAAAAAGTCACCATCATCTTTAGATATATCGAAAATTAGGACTCTAAATCTTATTATTCCCCAGTCTTAGTTAACAATCTTGCACAGGCCCGATAATTCAAAAACTTGGAGCTCTGATCTACACAGCTTGGCAAGTTTCACACAGTTTGACAGGTAGGCAACTGTGAGATATGCATTTTTAAAACTTTGCATTTTCTATCAAAACAGTCTGAAATCTTTTAAAATCCATATAGAGACTGTATTTGTGCAATGCCACAGTCACGTTGCTAGAAAGGAGAAAACAAAATACAGTCTGGAAGATTAACCACAGCCCAAGTTTTCTTGGTCTTCAGTTTAAACAATGATGAGCCCAGGAAATCCAATTATACAGTGCCTGGAATAGGAGCAGAATTGGTCCTAGAATAATTTAAGCTACTAAACAGGGACGGTCTCAACCACAGGTGATTTGATGCACTCTTCGTGCAATCTGCTCTTTTCTGCAAGGCTCAAAGCATTTTCGGCAGGATGCTCAGAAATATGACTGTCACCGTTCAATGCAGAAACAAATCCCTCCTGGGAGGGGCCTTTCAAGTATGAGTGAAATTCCACTTGAGGGTGACTGGACCGGTGCTCAGGATATAAGCTATTGCAGGGTACACCGCTATCGTTTTCGGAAGAAGAGCAGCAAACAATCACAGAGGGGTTGGCAGCTGGGTAGTGGGAGGCACTGTAGGCCTCTTCTGCTTGTCGGGCATAGTCAACGAATTGCTCCGGGGTCATGGTATAAGGCACCAGCGAAAGGGTACCGTTTTTGACAGTATCTCTTTCAGAATAGTTCTCGGAGATCTGATTAGGGGTTCCTGGAATGTGGCTATCTATTTGGTAATAGAGAGTTGGAGAGTTGGCATAAAAAGAAGCATTTTTTGTGTGGCTTTCATGAACTGCAGTGCCATCAGAATAACAAAGGACTGAAGGAAGAGGGACAACTTCAGCATGGCTGCCCAGACCTTCCACGAAGCTGTCTCCTTTCTCATCATCATCATCATCCTCTTCTTCCTCCTCTTCCTCTTCCTCCTCCTCCTCGTCAGACTCACTAGGTGCCAAGCTTTGTGTGCTAGAATCGGTGACTCCACTGCAAAAGCTACTCCCATCTTCTTCCTCTTCTTCCTCCTCACCTTGGCAATCTAATTCCTCAGCAGACTGCAGGTGCAGCACTGCAGCCTGGGGTTCAGTTTCAATCTCAAAATTGTCTGCAATAGAATATTCTACGGAGTGAGCGACAGGGCCCATGGAACTACTGTGTGCACTTATCTCGCCATGGCAGCCATTCAATGTGGGGATTTGCTGCTCTCGATTTTTCTCCAGTTCAAGTTTCATTATTGTGTGCAAAAAGTGAGTCCGGACACGGATAGGATTAAATTCAATCCTACCTGCTGTGTTACTACATCCTTCTTTAGTGCAGCCACATGGGAAAGACATGCGATCCACCTTGGAAGGAAGAACCTAGATTAGCACCATGGACTATTACAAATCAATAAAAATCCACTACCTTTTAGCAACCCCATTGAATTAAGTAATCCACTTAATCCCACTTATGCCATAAAAAATGACAATCACGCTGCAAATGACAAGCGTAAGTAGTTTTTAAAACTCACTTTAAAAATAGAAATGGGTTATGGGGATACATATGTATTTTTAGTTCATTGACCTCCTGCATTCTCTTCTGTACTTTTTTCTCCATTTTCTCATTTTCCTTTCATTCATTGCTTTAATTGTGCTTCCATTTTTTGAACACTTGTATCCTTCCCCAAGTTCCTTTTCCTTTGGCTGTATCCCAACTCACATGCTCAGCTCTAAATAAGCAAACTTACTATACTCATCATCCACACCTGTTCTTTGAAATCTAACTTATATGATGTTACCCATGCTAGCTAAACCCTTCCTCCTTTGCTTAGGATAAAATAAATTTCTCTGCCCCAGATTTCAAGTTGATAACTCTTAGACTCATGCACATGAATAATTTGTTCTCGTTGGTTTACCTTCTCATTCTTTGAGTCCGTGGTATATGGGTGCATGCATGAGGACTGCAAGACTGAGCTGGACATGCACGCTCATGCCTGTGATTGGTGGTTTCATGTGTTTAGGTCCTGGCTCTCCCACTTCCCTCCTCACTCCATTAGACTGTAAGCTTCTTGAGGGAAGGGAGGGTACATTTCATCAGTTTCCCAAATGTATCACTATGTGAGTGATAGGGCTCTGGAGATAATGAAGCTCAACAGTGATACTGTTCCCTCATGTAGTAAGTGCAATTCTGGGAAATTCAAGGGCACTCCTAAGAAATTTTCCAACTTTCTCAGTTCCCACAAATTAACCTATATGTAGGCCAGAGAATGGTCATCAGAAGAAAACAAAAATCTTTGCTCTGTTTGCCACTTTATCTAAGCACAATTTCCTATGCTATAGGGGAGAAGACAGATACTAAAACAGTAGGGATCTGCAGTTGGTGTAGTGGCTATGTCGCTGGACTCCCACATAGTTGACTGTGGTTCAAGTCCTGGACCCGGTGGCTTAAACTCACGCCAGGCAAGTGTGCATGTGTGCCCAATATCCCAAGAGGAGAATGGAGGAGAAGGGATCGCAGCATGACCATCCCCCCGGGAGGTGATTTCGTGCTTTCTGTCTATCTCTGGCAAGTGCATATGCCCTATAGCAAAAACCTCTCCAAAAAAAAAAAAAAAAAAAAAAAAGAAAGAAAAAGAAAAACAGTCATCCTGGTTCCAGTAGAAAGCAGGAGCAGATGTCGGAGCCAGAATCTGTCACTTTTTCACTACTCAAAAATTTTTTATCTATGCGTCTCTTTTCTTGCTTGCTTGTTTGCTTGCTTCTTTCTCTTTCTTCTTTCTTTCTTTCTTTCTTTCTTTCTTTCTTTCTTTCTTTCTTTCTTTCTCTTTCTTTTTTTTTGGAGAGGTTTTTTGTTATAGGTTGCGTGCACTCACCAGAAAGACAGAGGAAAACAGAGAGACAGAAAGCAAGAAATCACCCCCCCAGGAGAGATGGCCATGCCACATTCTCTTCTCCTCCATTCTCCTTTCGGGATCTTGGGCACTCACACACATGCACCCAGCGTTGAGTTTTAAGCGACCGGGTCCGGGACTCGAACCGCGGTCAACTACATGGGAGTCCAGTGACATAGCCATTACGCTAACTGCTGGTCCCGTATGCACCTCTTTTCTAAGCAACTGTTCAGCTAACAGAAAATGCCCTCTAGTTTTGCCCAAGTGGCTCTCCTTATTAAAATAAAAAATTCCAAGTTCTGCATAAAATAATCATACCTAATTAATCATAGAACACCAATGATTGGATAGAATCAGAGAATCATCTGATTATCTATCATTCACTAAAGATGTTTCTTTGCAAAGGACAAGAGAATAAATATTTTAGATTTTGTGGGCCATGTAGTTTCTATGACAACTACTTAGCTCAGCTGGAGAAGCATGAAAGCAATCAGACATTTCATAAACAAACAAAACAAATCTCTGATCCAATTAAACTTTACTTACAAGCACATGTGGCAGGTTGGGTTGACCTGTGAGTTTATAGCTCTCCAATCCCTGAGCCACTCCAGCCACTTGATTTCACAGAGAAGAAACTGGGCCCATTGGGGTTACCTGACATCAGTTTCTCATAGTTTTTAAATAGCAAAGTCAGGAGTACAACTTAGTTTTCTGAGGTCCCAGCCTTGTTACTTTCCCACCAGTTCCTACCACCTCTAGTCAATCATTTTATAGTCCATGGCTGGATCAGAAAACAAACTCAAATATTAGAAATGTTTTGATCCATTTGAGTATTTTAAAAAATCAACAAAGAATACTTTCAATGAACTGGGCTGCATATTGGGTTGCCTTTCACGACATATTTTGTATGTGTAAGAATTACGTATATATATTTTATACATATATGAATTATACACCTTGCTTTACTACAAAGTCTCCTTGTACATAAGGGAAACCTCATTATATGAAAGCATTTAAAGAAGTTCACAGAACAATGGAATTAAAGTATTAAAATAAATTGGGGCCAGTCGGTGGCATAGTGGTTAGGACATCAGACATCCACATGGCTGACCGTAGTTCGAGTTCTGGACCTAGCAGCTTGAAAATCACTCTGGGCATGCGTGTGTGTGTGTGTTTATGCGTGCATGCCCAAACTCCCAGGAGGAGAATGGTGGAAAAGGGATGACATGGCTATTCCCTCCCTGGGAGAGGATGATTTATCACTTTCTCTCTCACTGTCTCCCTCTGGCAAGTGCACGCTCCCTATGGCAAAAACCTGAAAGAAAAAGTATATTTTGCTGTGGAAAATTTTTTGAAATTCATAGTTTGTATAATCCCTATTTTCCACGAAATTTTTGAAGACCGCACCGACGTACCATGATTGCATCGTTCGTGGGTGGCATATAACACCTTGTCTTTGGCTGCTCTGCAATCCGAATCCTTACCTGACACTTAATGCCTGCCAGGCTGCAGGTACATGTTTCTGGATCACAGAACACTCGGCAGTCACAGCCACAGTCCTCCCGCGACAGGCGGATGGCTCGTAGCTCATGTTTTTCTTCCACGTCGATTTTTTTCACCCCAGAGGCCCGCAGCAGTGCTCTTCGTTTTTTTGTTGGCAGGGGTTGCAGGAAGAAATACTCGTCTACCTCTGTGTTGTCTAAATCAATATCATCATCAGAAATGTCATCCACTGTAAGAGTGCTCGCTTCTTCGGATTCTACCGTGCCATTCTTAGTCATCTAAAAACACAAAGCAGCAAGTAAGAGACTTAGCAGGGGCAGGGTCCCAAATCCCTCCTTTATATTTGACGAGAATGAACTGCTGTGTATTATTATGTCGCCATAACCAATCTGTTTGACTTTAAATTATTTTCTTTTAGCCTTCTTTTCAGAAGAAGTCACAGAAAGGCTTTTCAATGTCCTGGTAACAGAAGACTGTTAATTGGAACTCTTAACCTCCTAATGTTAGGCGCTATCGCTCTTAGAGCTTTTCAGCCAGCACATTGTGAAAAAGGCCAAAGGTGACAGCTGCCCGTCAGTGAAAGCTATCTTTAGACTCAGTTCGTGATGGCCAACTCTGATGTGGGGATAAATGTGTCCTTGTTCAGAGGTGATAGGATCTTAGTGGAAGTCACCGTCCTCTAACTCAGCACACATAGTCCTTGAAATAACAACCCTGTCTTTTAGACTCCAAAAAAAAAAAAAAAAAAACAGGCACCAGGAAAGCAAGCTGTGCTATACTATACTGCTGGGATTACAAATATGATTATCCTACAGAACATTCCAAGAATGAGGCCTTGATATGAAGTAATCAGTTAGGCCGGCATGCCCTCAGTCAGACAAGGAGCAGAGGGCAGTGCTGGCAAACTCTCGCCACCAACAACTGAAACAATAAACTCGGCCCCCCAAGGAGTTCACATCAGCCTTCGCCCAAAGCATTACCTTCTGCAACAGCTCATGTGGACAACGATGTCTCACCTACCCATGACTATTCCGCTTCTGTTTGTATTTCTTTTCTAAAAAGTCCTGAGTCACTCATTCACGCTTACTACCATCACATACTATGTTTCTTTTACAAAAATGCATTTAGAAAGAGAAGTGTTCTTTGAATATAAGCAAGAATTCTTCTCAAACATATTCTGAGGTGCAGCACAGAAATAAATGCAGAAATTCCATTAGCGATAAATCATGAAGTTTGGAATACAAAAGTATTTTAATTTAAAAGGTTTGTTTTGCAAACTTCATTCATTATACTTACTACCTTGCTTGATGACCTTAATAATGGTTTGTTGATTATATAGTTAAAATACTCAGTTGGCATGAGGATTTATACTGTCATTTTCATAAGAAAAAGTGCACTTAGATAAGAATACTTATTGAGCAAAAACCCTCAAACTGGACAACTCTGAATGTATTAAAGAATAAATACAAGACTGAATTTTGCCCTCAAGTAGAGGACTTTTCATAAATGAACTAACACAGTAACAACTAAACACTAAAATATAATACAAAGCCTTGAAACAGAGTTTAAACAGTTAATTATATTTTTTAATATTTTAGAGCTTGAGGGGCTGGCAGGTGGCATGGTGATTAAAAGTGCTGGACTCCCACATGGCTGACTGTTATTTGAGTCCCAGACATGGCAGCTTGCTTTCTCACTTTCCCTCTCTCTCTCTTCCTCTCTCTGGTCAAATTTAAAAAAATATAATAACAATAATAATAAATGATGTTAAATGAAATAATTCTTTTTTTTTTTTGAGAGGTTTTTGCTATAGGGCACGTGCACTCGCCAGACAGACAGAGAGAGACAGAGAGACAGAAAGCGAGAAATCACCTTCCAGGGGAGATGGTCATGCCACAATCCCTTTTCCTCCATTCTCCTCTTGGGATCTTGGGCCTGCACGCACACACGCGTGGCGTGAGTTTTAAGCCACCAGGTCCAGGACTCGAACTCGATTGACTACATGGGAGTCCAGTGACATAGCCATTACGCTAACTACTGGTCCCTGAAATAATTCTTAAAAAAATATTTTGGAGCTTGACTCTGTGATCTTGCAAAGATGTACATTCCCCTTTATTAGGTTTCATTTCTTGATGTGATTTGAAATTCATTACCTTCCTTGGTAATTTTGTTTTTTAAGAGATTTTTACTATAGGGCATGTGTGCTTGCCAGAGGGACAGAGAAAGAAACTGAGAAATCGTTCCCCAGGGGGGATGAAAATGCTGTAATACCTTATCCTCTATTCTCCTCTTGGGATTTTGAGCACGCGTGCGCGCATGCACGCACACACACACACGTGCCCAGTTTGAGTTTCAAGTTGCTGGGTCTGGGACTCAAACCACGGTTGGCCATGTGGGAGTCCAGTGCCTTACTCACTATGCCATCTGCTGGCCTGTCCTTGACATTACTTATGTACAAATTGGTTAAACTGATGTCCACTGCTAGGATGGTAGTTTGGCTGTGGTTATCATTTTTGTTCATTCTTATTTGCTAGCAACTGCATATTGGTATCTGTGAAGATGTGATCTGCTAAAGAATGCAAGGGCATAACCACCTAACATGTACTCAGTAGTCTGTGATAGGTATCGCTGCATTAACAGAGTGTTCCCTTTCTCACCCTGTCATTCTCAGGTATTTAGATTTGCTTTCTCTCATTCTTGGGTTCCCTACGTGAACCCCAGCAAACTCTGCATTCCACAAACATGTAGAACATCCAGGACTCGGTTAGCATGGTTCACATTAATACAGCCTTCCCACTCACCCACTGGGTTCTCTAATATTTATTACCTAGTGTATAATATTTAGCTTCCTTGTGCTATGGAAAACATTTCAACAATGACAAAAATTAGTTTTTATGTCAACAGGACCACATTTTAAAAAATAATGAATTTTCAGAAAAGACATTAAGTCAACATGAAGTGAGATTTTAGCAAACATTTTAAAAGATACCAAAATGTTGGGGACCAGTAGATAGAATACTGGTTACATTTCTGGACTCCGATATAGTCGACCATGGTTCAAGTCGCAGACCTAGTGGCTTAAAGCTCACACCAGGCACGTGTGTTTCCATGTCCCAAATCCCAAGAGGAGAATGGAGGAGAAGGGATTGCAGCATGGCCATCCTCCTGGGGGTGATTTCTCATTTTCTGTCTGTCTCTCTGGCAAGTGCATGCACCATATACCAAAAATCTTTCTGTAAAAATAAAATAAAAATAAAAGATACCAAAATGTTTAGGGCACCTTGGATTATCATGTGGTGCCTAAGAATTAACTGCTGTATCTCAAAGGAACTACAAATTCCGTTCTCTCCAAATATCAGTGCCCTTAGAAAAAACTCTGTATCTCTTATTATCATTTACTTACTAACAGTAAAGAATTTGGGGCCAGCAGGTGGCGTAGTAGGGTAAGGTGCTGGACTCCCACATGGCCAACAATGGTTCTGCTGCTGGACCCAGCAGCTTGAAACTCATGCTGTATGTGTGTGTGAGCATTCCCAAAATCCTAACAGGATAATGAAGGAGAAAGGACCACCGTCCTGGAGGATGATTTCTCACTTTCTGTCTCTCCGTCTGTCTCTCCAGAGGGGGGTACATACCATCAAGCAAAAAATCTCTCAAATAAATAAATGAAATAAAGCATTTCACTGCAAAATAAAAATTCAATTAAGAATGTAAAAGTTTTTCACAAATAGCAACATACTGTTTCACTCTTATTCAAGAACCTATAGGAGTTCTCATCTAGATTTTCAAAATCTCACATTAACATTTAAATTATCTGGAAAAATCTATCTTTCTTTCTTTCCTCTTTCTTTCTTTCTTTCTTTCTTTCTTTCTTTCTTTCTCTTTCTTTTTTTTTTTTTTTAAATTTGCTATAGAACCAGTGTACTCACCAGAGAGAAAGAGAGAGGGAAATTGAGAAAGCACCCCTTGGGGAGTATGACCACTGCAATCCCTTCTCCTCCGTTCTCCTCTTCAGATTCTGGGTATGCACACACACCTGGCACGTTTTTCAAGCCACTGGGTCCAGGACTCTATGCACACAGTTAGCCATATGGGATATATAGCCTTCTTAACCTCCATGCCACCAGCTGACCTGCCAGATTTTCTAATATCATTGCTAATGAAGACTGGAAATACCTAATTTGGTCTGGTTAATTGGCTTATCTTCCCCTCTTCACAGTTTCGGGTTGGGTATACAGCCTCTGAGAAATATTCTCTGATATTGCCTTTGAAGTCCTTCCCCAGTCCTCTCTTTCAGTTTATACCTAGTTGCCTCTTTAGGTTTCATGCCAAATGCTCTTTAAAAATCAGAGTACTCTGCAGATTATTTCTAAATACATTTTCCCATATTAGAGCAACAGTGGAAAAGGTCAATGAGCTCTCTATTTCTGTTTACCAACTCACATCTATTACGATCTCAAGATTTAGTGCAAAGAAATCCAAGGAGTCT